CAAGGCCACACGGGGATAGCCACGTGGTTTCAGAATGCTGGAGCATTCATGACACTTACGATAACAATTATTTACTGGATTCTCAAAGGGCCTAAGTTTTTGGTACATACATAGGAAAAAGAGGTAATGTTGCCCCGCCAGCATGACTCAGCAGTTGAGCATTGACCTCAGAACCAGGAGGTCATGGTGTGATTCCTGGTTGGGGCATACACCCAGGTTGTGGGCTCGATCCCCAGTGCACAGGAGACAGCTGATCAATGATCCTTTCTCATCATTGATGTCTCTCTCTCTCTCCCTCTCCCTTCTTATCTGAAATCAATATATATTTTAAAAGAGGTAGTGTTTAAAATGTATAGATGAGCTACTCATCATTGAATTCTCTTCTTTGCTTCTCTCTGATCTCTCTGCCTCTCTACACTCTTCATTGTAGTTTAGGCATCCCACCCCCAATGCTAATTTTCTACCTTGAGTTTTGTCTTCAATTTCTTCTGGTACAATGTAATCTCCATAGTAGAAACAGGGAAGAAAAAAAAAGACGGAGTAACTGGACAATTCCCACAATCTAGATTAGAGAAAGAACTTCAGACCTGCTTGGCAGGAGGTGGTAGAGCGTGCTGGAGGGACACTGACCTTGGAGTCACATGGCCAGGGTTTGAGACCCCGATCTGCTACTTACTCCCAGGAGGCTCTGATGGGTCTCTTGCTCTCCAGGAGCTGCAGCTCCTAATTTGCAAAAATGGAGATAACAGACATTGTGCTGTGGCCCCCCAGGGCTTATTGTGAAGATCAAACGAGACAATACTGTGATCAGTGCTGTAAAGTACTAAATGAATGCCTGGGATTCATGTTATCCCTGTTATAACATATCATTTCGCTGTCACATGGAAGACCGTCATCCCTCCTGGGAATCGTCCCCATCACTGTCCACTCACATCACCTGGACAGTCTTTGCCACAGTCCTCACCGTCTCTGTTTCAGGGGCTGTCTGATCACTGCCTTCGTGTGCCATTTCACTTGCTGTAGTCACCGGTTCTCCAGTTCACTTACAAACATTGACTGAATGTCTAGTAAGCCTCACACAGTGCTGTGTGCTGGGGACAGACATAAATCCGTGGTTCCTGCTGTTCTCTAGGAATAAGCTCAGAAAACTCACTCACTCTCATGCTAGTAAATTCATGATGGGTCTCAAATACCCGCTGCTGGCCTTGAGTTGCACCTGTTTCTTAGTTCTGTAATAGCTGCATGATGTTTATGTTTTCCTTGCCTCTAAACTTAGCAAGCCTCATGCTTTCCTTTCCTAGAATCACAGGATCCTGGCTCCACAGTTATGAGTGAGGCCATCGTCATTTCCCCATCCAAAATGCAGGTGGTGATCTCTTCATTTTTCTTCTTTCAAGGCGTTAACATTCATTCTCTCAGTCTTTCTCGGACAATATCTCTTGGAGGCACCGTCTCCCTTTCTACAGGTAGATCCACAGCCCATGCTTGGCCCACCTTTTGGGTGACGGGAGTAGCTCATTGCCTGTCCTTGGGCCTTCAGCTTCTCTCTGCTTTACCGCATCCCATACCGGGCTGGCAGCCTGATTCTCCTACCCCGACCCATCTGATTGTCCAGCAATACTGTCCCCTGGCTAGGATTTCCTCCCCACCTGAGTATACATTCCAGCTCCCACTAACATACCCCCCACATGCTGCCTTGAGATGATCCCTCGGTGGCCAAGATGTGCCTTGGGTACCAGTGATAATATTTTAATGAATGCAGCTCCTCTCCAAGAAAAGGACTTGAGAATTAATTCCATCAGATACGTGGCAAAGGCCACCTTATAAAGCAGTGAGGACAGGCTGTGAGGTCAGTGACAGATCATCTCTTAGTCCGCCCCGTCTCAGGAGCAGGAGCGATGAAGCCAGGGCGCTGAGGGGCTGTTCCCCTTCTCTTCCGGCACTTGGTTGGCAGAGGTGATGAGATACTAACATCCTCTAATGGACAGATGACAAATAAACACTTTTTTTTCTAAACAGACAAGTTGCAGCTCAGGAAAGTTTTCCGTTTTCCTCATTGCAAAATCAATACCCATCAGCAGTTTGAAATTAAAGGCCAGATTAGGCCTCAGTTTTATACATGCCTTATTGTATTCCAAAAGCTTTCTACGCAGTCAGATAAATCTTCTTTAAGAGGATTAGGAAACTTTCATTATCTTTATCTCACCTGAACTAACACTAAGTCGGAAAAATTAATCTATGGACTGGATGAGAGCCGAAAGCTGCTGGAAGGAGGGGGACTCCTGGGCGCCTTTCTAATTGAGCCGCGGGGTCACGGCTTCCACCCACTGGAAAGTCACCTGGTCTCTGAGGGAGGAACAAGCCGCCCATTGCTCACCAGGACGGGAGCGAATATAGCTCTGAGCTCCTCCTTTTAACCTCTTAGGAAGTATAAAGACCATTTGCTAAATGTTCTAGAAGCTTCTCTCCCCCCCTTCCGCTCTCCTGGTCTTCTGAATGGCAGTGCACAGGCCCCCTGAGACGACCAGAGCTGTGAGAGGTGCCTGGCTTGAATGTGGAGACTGCAGGAATGGAACTCCGGGGTTGAAACTCTGCTGCCTGCATCACGCCTGTTCTCAGACCCTCTCACACCCAATGCTCTGAGGCCCATGGCAAGCACCACTGGCTTCTCTGTCCAGCCCAAGACATAGCTCCCAGGGCCTTGGAAAGAACATCACCCCCCCCACCCCCCGTTCTGCACTGCGATCCCTTTAAGGCCTGCGTTGACTTTGGCATGTTACACAATCTGTCCTAGTTCCTGCAAAGTAAGAGCCATGTTCCTTCGAGTCTGTCTCTGTGCACTGCCTGACAGTTCCTTTTAAACTCCAGTGTCTCATTTTAAACTCCAGTGTCTCATTTTCTGGATTTTAAGATAACTTTGCTGTCAAAGCCATGAGAGCACCACGGAGGTGTGGACTTCCATGCCCAGAATTCCAGCTCCTCGGGAAACAAGGCCAGGTACTGGGTGGGTAGGAAAACTCACTCTCCCCAAAAATGTTTGACAGGCATCCCAGCTCATCCCAGTGCCTCGCCATCCTCTGAGGAGAAGCAGCGGGTGTGACATTGGCTTCATCTCCAGATGGAAGCCGCCGTGTAACTGCCAAGCAGTGACCATCCCAAGCCCTGCCCCAGGGCGGGACATGTTGGAGAGGGAAAGAGTGTACTGTCATCTGCCCCATGGCAGGCTGGAGTGGGCATCTGAAAGCCTCGGAGAGAAGGCCACGCAGGCCGAGCTGAGGCCAGGCTTCAGGCAGCAGGGCAGCACTGGGGCTGCTGTGGCAGCAACTGTAGGGGCAGACCCCTGGCCCAGCACAGGCCTTAGAAATGGATGAGTCAGAGGCCTGGAGGCTGTGCCAGCAAAGAGCCACTCTGGCCTAAAGGCTGGCCATCCTGAATGGCATGAGTGGCCAAAGCAGGAAGACACGCTAACTCCTACTCATGCTCCCCATGAGACCACGTGAAATGAGAAAAATTATATATTTTGGGAAGACAAGAGCAAGAGACTCCGTATTAGCTAAGCAAGGAGGCCGTACACATTTCATACACTGACAAATCCTTTGAATCTACTGCAGATGGAATGTGGTAAAAGGCAGTTACTAAAGATTAAATCCTACACAGGGACTTCTCTTCTTCTTTTTTAAACATATATTTTTATTAATTACAGAGAGGAAGGGAGAGGGAGAGACAGACAGAAACATCAATGATGAGAGAGAATCATTGACCGGCTGCCTCTTGCACACCCCCAACTGGAGATCGAGCCAGCAACCTGGGCATGTATCCTAACGGAATCAAACCATGACCTCCTGGTTCATAGGTCCATGCTCTACCCCTGAGCAACACCAGCCGGGCACACAGGGACTCCTTCTGATAGCTCAGTTCATGGTTCCAAGTCCCCATGCAGGAGGCTCTGAGGGAGGCCCACCCCAATCCCTCACTGGGTGGAGGAAGGATGTGCCATCGGAGGATAAAGCGAGCTGAGCACTTCTGGGTGCCCTGAGCCAATACCTGACGGGAACTGCTTTGCGTAGTAATGAGGCAGGGAGCGCAGTCAGTCCGGCGCAGTTAAAAATAACTTTCTTTGTACTGCTGTCTTGTTTTAAACGGCTCTCACATTCTCCTAACTGCTATCTGGATGTATTTTTAATTTTTGATAATTAATAATTGATATCTAAGATTCTGACATTCCTACAGCCCTATTTTTTCCTCTACAAAGTGAAATTTAAATAAAAACTTATGAAATACTATGCCTGGGTTTTACTAATCCTGATTTTTTAAGGGAGAATAAGAGAGAAATTTAGGGATTTAACCCCCCCTTTTAATTATATAGATTTATTTCCAACACAGACCTGGAAATATAATTTTGACTAATCCCTCTCTTGACCTTGGCTGCACTGTGGGGCTAAGGGAGAGGCGTTGGCTCAGCAAGGATGCAGGGAGAACCCAACGAAGCAGCACGCAGAACCCCTCCTGGAATGTGTAGGACCATCACCCACACAAAAGCAGTCCCAAGTCACATGATTTCAAGTCACTAGCATTAATCTTTTATAACAAATGCAGCCTATCAAAGATATTCAAAGACAGATCTCTACACAATCGCCATCATTATTTAATTATAGTTATGTCTATAAGCACAGGAAGTGGATATTGTATCCATTTTTTAAGTCTACCAAGTCCCAACTCCAGAGTACTAAGTAACTTAAGAGCTCAACCAGCACATGCCACACAACTTATTGAAAAGAAGTGAAAGATCAGAGATAAAACTGAGAAACTGTGAACATCTTCAGTGCTCAGTCAAGAACCTAGCAGGTGAGAAGGAATCCCGGACTCATACTCAACCTCTGAATTCTGTAGAGGAAAATGACTTTTTCTGTCTTCACACACGAGTAGAAGCAAAAGCTGAGATGGTCCTTCCCCTCCATCATTGGCAGTGACCCCAACCCACAAATCTAGCTGTAACTCACCTTGCACGATGAGGTGGACCCGGGAGGTCTTGGGGTGGTTGTCCGTCTGCACAGAGCAGGTGTAGGGGCCTTCGTCATACACATCCACGTTCTGGATCATGATGCTGTACTGGGTTGGTGTGTTGACCAGGATGACCACACGAGGGTCTATAGACCACTTGTCATTCCCAGCGTAGAGGATGGTGCTGCGGTTTAGCCAGGCCACCCGGGTGACTCGGTCGTCTATGGTACACCTGTGGGGTGGGGTGGGAAGGAGGGGAAAGGAAGAGGGAAGATGAAAGGGGAATATCAAGGAAGGGAGAAAGGAAGAAAGAAGAGGGGAGAAAGGGAGTAAGAGAGTGTTGAGTGATTATATTATAAATATACTGGTTGTGCTTCAAGGAATAAATAAAATAACATAACCTAGTGCTAACAGAAGATGATTAATTATTGATGAAACTTCCTAAATATAGGTTAGCAGTGGCCTGAATCATCCTGAAGAACCGATGATGCAAAATCATTTGTATTCAATTTGGGAACCTATTCTGTGACTATCTCTGCTGTATATTTGTTTTCCATCTTAGTTCTCCCCTAGGCGTATATGGAAATTAGTTTATATTTCTTGAGCACATTGAGTACCTCCTGGGAGAAGTGGCCCAGGGGCCCAGGGGCGAGAAAGTGGATCAGCATTTCAAATAGGTCACAGGTAATCCACAAAGCAAACACCGAACCTGTTGTGAGCCCCAAATGGAACATGTTTACCTCCTTGGTGCTGATAATCCCCTGTACGCCTAAGCTGCCCAGTGCCTCCTGCCACCTACAGCTTATAACATGGATTGGAAAATCACCTGAGAAAGCTAACGGTGTTGGAAGAAACCCTGCCTGCCTCCTAAGATTTCTGGAGAGGGCAGAAGAGATGGTCAAGCAATTTCTCCTCCTTCTCACTCTCCTTTCCCTGTGCCCCAAGAGAAAACGGTTTGGCTGAGGTCACCTCTTTTATCCTCACACCTCTCACCTACTTCCCCAACCATGGGAGGCTAGTGGAATTTGCTTTTTGGTGTGTATGACCTGCTGGCTATCAGGTTTAATGTAGAGATAAACATGCCTGTTTGGTCAGGAAAAAAAAAACACAACTTGCATATGTGCCCCAGAAACTTAGAACCTGTAAAGGGAAAATGTAGAAAAAGAAACCCTTTATAACTGTGGGTCTGTAGTGAAGAGTATGACTAGAGGGTGAGAGTTGAGCTCACTGAGAACTCAATGCTCTAGTCCTCTAGGCAGAACCTGAGTTGAGGTATTTGAGCACAGAGCAAGGGGTGCCCCCCAGAGGTCCTAGCACAGTGGTCGGCAAACTGCGGCTCGCAAGCCACATGCGGCTCTTTGGCCCCTTGAGTGTGGCTCTTCCTAAGCCTTAGGAGTAGCCTAATTAAGTTAATAATAATGTACCTACCTATATAGTTTAAGTTTAAAAGATTTGGCTCTCAAAAGAAATTTCAATCGTTGTACTGCTGATATTTGGCTCTGTTGACTAATGCGTTTGCCGACCACTGTCCTAGCAGAAGGTAGGAGGTGTACCTTCTGGGGACAAGGCATGTGAATCCAGTGCCTCTAGGTGAGGAGACAGGGAGAAACACTGCCACTCCTTACCAGGTCTGAACCCATCTGAGCAACAAGAGATCCTTCTGACAGGCTCAGAAGATGGGCAGCACACCCGAGACACTGGCCATGGAAGAGAGGGCACACGCATTTGGACAAGCGGTTTCCCCTGGCAAAGCGACCAGCCTGACAGGGTCAGGGGAACAGATGGCACTGGAGCACCAGGTGACAGCGCTTCTGGAAAGGGAAAGCCTCAAGTCTAGAGAAGCGCTCTTCCTGGTTAGTCGGAGGACTAGAAATAATACCAGCCCCCAATTACTGAGGTCTTTTACGTACAAGTCCACCTAGCAAGCGTTCATCAGGTGTCGGGGCCATGACGTAGGGGTGGGTGATAATCAGGTGCTTTCAAATTAAAGTAGGAGATTCTTCTCTTCTAAATTGTCTTTATTTGCTATTTTTTAAAACTAAAAGTGTAAAATAAACATGTTATACATGCGAGCAAATATAATACAAAGATGCAAAAAGGCCAAGCTAATCATTCCATCCCTGCCCAACTCCTGGTTCCCTGAGATCATTATTTCCAAAACAGCCTGACACTTCTCCTTCCACATCTTACTCCTCACAAACATACATTCACATATAGACACTTTGTGTTGAATATTTTTTTTTGCCTGAAATGGAATCACACTCTCATTTTCCTGTGAAACTTTTCTTTTAACGTGATTACACGCATCTCTGCACACCAGTAGTGAGAGACCTAATTTTGTATCTGTTCTGGGTGACATCAGGGACATGAGTTCAGAGGGCCCAACTGGACTCACCATTAAGTCCTGATAATTCAGGTGTCATTAAATGACTATTTCCCACCTTAATACATGTGTCATTGGTATGAAGAAAAATTGAAGTCATGTTTTTCTGTTCATATCCTGGGATGTTAACTTCACTTTCCACAACACATCTGTTCATTGTATGGAAAGGTTTCTAATTCATTTATAAAGAATACTAAAGCCCATAAAGACCTTCCCTGCTTTGAACTTTCAAAAGCATTAAAACACACACACACACACACACACACACACACACACTCATTCATTCCCTCTGGGTTGGAAATGATGGATAAGGCAACCCTATCTTAAGGACTGTTGCGTTTGAGTAACGCCCAACAATGAAGTCCCACTTGTGCAGTTCCAGGACTCAGCCAGCCGAGAGTGAATGGTGGGCTGAGACAGGGTGACGAGTTGTCTTCTAGTCCCTGGAACCACATAAATCCAGAGGACTATGTGCAAACAAATATTCTTGCTTTTATTTGGGCCAATTATGTAACCCCTTGCACATTTACTGAATTTGTAAAATTTAAGTTATAGTTGGAAAGAATGCACTTTTGGTCTGTGGAAAACATTCCCATTTAAAAATCAAAACATCACAATATGTATATGCATATAGGTATGTTTGTTTAATGGCATTTAAATACCATAGCAATTTGATAGTCATGATTATCTCTTTCAACATTCATAAATGAGTTCTTCCTTGACAATCATAAAATATGCACTGTTTCTATTTAAAATGTAAACTTGTGTTTCCATTATGTGTCTTCTGTAAGATTTTATCCTGATATATTGTATGCTTGAAAATCTCTTATTGATCAGCTATCATATTTACATATAAATGTAAATTTCCTTTATGTTCAGTGACCATAAAGCTCTGAGTAATAATATTTTCTTTTAGAATGAGTTATCAATACAAGGATAATATTGATAAAACAACATAAATATATTGTACATGCTGTTAAGTAATAATTAAAGCTAATGAGTGAGCTTTTACTGGAAATATAGCTCTTAGTAGGATTGATGAGGCTTTTAAAAATTATACCCTGGATAAATATCAGTACTGCTAGAATGAGATAGAGCTAAGGATCAATTCTATTCCTTTTCCTTTTTTTTGCTTTAAAAGGAACCTAGTTCACATCAGCAAGGATATGGAAATGAAAATCCTGTAGAGAAATGTCACTCAATTCTTTGAACCTTTTCCAAAACATATGCCAAAAATCACAGAGTAATATAGCTTCAAAAATTATTTTAATGATCGCACAGCTGACAATTCAATTAGTTCCTCTTTCAATTTCTTTTAAAGCAATGAATTGGAAAATACCTGACTTGCAAAGGGCTTTGTAACTCGGTATTAAATTCATTCAATTTCTCAATATCTAGACAGTATACTGCTAATATTTTACCAGGCTTTATCAAATGACTATTAAAGGAAGAAAGTAAAGAAAAATCCTCCCCTGGACAATTACTAAAGTGGAAGCAGCCAGAAAGGAGAATTAGAATTACAATGCAATCTCAGGCACTTTCTCGGGCCGATTTGGGGAAATTTGAGAGCTTGAAATGTATCATTTTAAACCTACCATGCCCTTGTACAACCTACAACTGCAGGTTGAGGTGTATGCAGCCAGTTTAAAGATGCCTCGCAGGGGCTGACTTTGAAACAGTCAATCCAAATCTACCTTCTTGGGCCAGAACACGTTCTCATGCCTGGCCACACAGCCTGTGGAAAGCCCCATGTCCACCTAGGGTAGGGCCAGACATGCCCCAAACAGGTGACCAGGGACCAATTTAGCTGCTCTCAAACCTGGGCCTCATTAGCGAGCCTGGAAGGCAAATAGAGGGAATAACTGGATAAAAGCCATCTCTCAAATGGGTAAGAGCTGAATCACCAAGTCCACACAGCTCTAGCGCCTGAGGAATGACAAAGAGACTTGGCACCATGAGGATGTTGGTTGAGGACAGTTGTTTTCCTCACAGTGTTTCTGTGCTTCAGAAGGAGGAGGAACATCCATGCTTCTTGCTTTCTTTCCTCATAACAGGGCTCTCTTACTGTTCTCTGAACAAAATATATGTTTAATAAATATGGCTCCTTCCCTGCTGTTTATGGGGATATCCTGGACCCTCATTAGCAACAAAAGCATGGAGAATTTTTGATGTTAAATAAGGGGGCCCAAGAGGAAAGCTAAGAACATTAATATAAACTTTCAGATTTCTTGGAAACTCTTTCAAGCATTTAAAATGTTTACACTCCAAGCTGAAGCTTCCTACTGGTCCTTGATAAGACCATTTTTTATAACTCTATCACAAGAAATGTCTAAAATTATATAGTGCTTATTCTGCGCCTGACACAACTTTAAAACTTTCCATGTATTAAATCATTTGATCTATCCACATTTTACAGATGAGGAAATGGAAGCACAGAGAGATTCAGGATTCCTAACCCCCACAGCTAGTACTATCAGAGCGAGATCTCAAACTTAGGCAGCCTGGCACTGGAGTTTCTGTACTTGAGGGCTGTGATAGTCTCCTAATAAAGAAAGTGCTTGTGAGAACCACAAAAGACCCAGAATATCCAAAGAAATCTTAACAAATAAGAAGAAAGTTGGAAGTCTCAATGCTAACCAATATCAAACTATACTGCAAAGCTATAATAATCAAAACAACATGGTACTGGCATAATACCAGACACATAGTTCAATGGAATGGAACAGAGAGCCCAGAAATAAACTCATGCCTATCTACTCAATTAATCTATGACAAAGGAGGCAAGACCATGCAATGGAATAAAGACAGTCTGTTCAATAAATGATGTTGGGAAACCTGGACAGATACATGCAGAAA